TCGCCGGTGCTAGCCTGAGAGGTGTCGCTATCACCAGACGGGGGCTCTTCGCCTCGGCCTTTCGGCCAGCATAGCCTACAGACATGCGTGTACTGGTTGGGTTCGGGCCTCGCCGAAAACTCTTGGGAGTTCTTAAATATCCTACGGCGGCCCATCCAGCACCCGGCCTGGCCCCCCTTGTGTAGCCTGTACTTCTTCCCTGGAAGCTCAACTATGATATAGCTCGTGCACCTAGCCTTCTTAAGGAGCTGCCTCGGCCGGTTCCGGTTGGGTTCCGGTCCCAGCTCCGGCTCACTAGCCGAGGAGTCGGGTCTATCTTCGGGAGGATCGCTCGCCACGACTTCTTCAGGTATCCCCGGACCAGCCACCATCTCCACGATGCGCTCGCTAGCCCACTCTCGTCGCAACTCTCCCGATAGCTTCTCAGCTTCCTGCTCGCTAGCCTTGCCAGTCCGAAAAAGCCAGCCACCAAGATCGCCGGCTATCTCCCTCTCGTCTAGCTGCTGTTCTCGGTCCCGAGCCCTAGCCGCCTCTGCGTAGATAGCCTGGAGTCGGGCGACTCTTCCGCCATAGGAGCGGATGTAGGTATCCGATCCCTCGGGCTTCCAGCGACCTAGCATATCTCTATCTGCCGGCGGGATTGGCTTTAGGCTCAGCCCGGTGGGTAGCACTGCTCTCTCACTGTGCTCCGACCAGTAGCCTCGGGCAATCGTCGGGATCCCCACCATAGCCAGCAGTCCCGCTGTAGCCACCATCGCATCCGCGTAGGTAGCCATCTTCTTCTCCAGGGCGCCTCTCTCGCCTAGCCTCGGCATGAGATAGTCCCGCTGGTAGCCCGCGTGGTTCTTTAGCAGGTCGAAGCCCGCCTGTAGCCAGCCAGGGTGCTCGAAGTAGGCTCTCTCCGAGATGCATACGGGTAACTCTCGTATGCGCCTGTTAGCCCCGGTGGTTTTGGTCCGCCGAAGGATGGTTGATAGCCGACCTTCCACCATAGCCAGTTCGTTCGGGACCATAGCCTGGAGGTCCGACCAAGCTGCCCCAAACCTTTAGGAGCTTAGCCCAGGCCCAAGCTCTCCAGCCGACGGCCACAGTTGTATCCAGGACCAGGCGCTCCCACCTAGCCAGGATATCCGCAGGATATCGGGGGGCTCGCCGCGTCCAGGGCGCCTTCCAGGATAGCCTCTCGACGACCGTATCCTTGATCGCCCACGCTATCCTGCCTGAGGTAGCTCTCGACTCGGTCGCCCATTCCGCAACCCTCTCTATCCAGCTGATGGCCTTGAGGATCGCCTCGGGGGCTGTTCGCCCGCAGGGCTCGTCGCCCCTAGCCATAATGTAGTCGGCCAGGTCGGCCGGTAGCCCAGGGGGGCGTCCACTCTTAGCCTCCCGTAGCCATAGCCGCCATCTCACGTGTATCGAGACGTAGCGCTTGAGAGTGCTAGCCGGGTTTTCCCCGCTAGCGCCAGAACTGCTCTATCCGGGTCCAGGCACCCCTGTAGCTTCTTCAGCACCGGCGCCTCGCACAATTCTAGCTCTTCCTTGAGCTTGATAGCCCAGGTTGCTTGTAGCCTTTCTTCCCTAGCCTGCGCCAGGGAGCCCTCGTTGACCAAGCGCTTCTGCCTATCCCCTTTCGGGGGCTCCGGCTCGCTATCTTCCTGAAGGTCGATCCCTTCGATCGCCGGCCGCTTGCTGAGGTTAGCCCAAGCTAGCGAAGTTGCTCTGTATCCCGACGATCTCTCCACCAGGTCTCTAGCTTCCTGGGCCTCTTGTATCCACGGGTAGATCGAGTCGCCGATGTACTCGTCGTAGCCAACGCCCAGCTCCTCAGCCACCTGGTGCCCAATATCTTCCGCGTCCTCTAGACCGAGGGTAGCCAGCTCAAGCACACCGAAGCCCCGCGACGCCAGATGCTCATGGCATCTATCCAGCACCGCACGCTTCTGCACAAGAGCGCTATCCAACAAGGACGGAAGATCGATGGGGGTCCCTATCCCTCCGGAGGGAGTAGCCGGCCCGACTTCCTGCTCTTCCGGCACAGCCGTGGGCAAGACGGTTGGGCTCCCTGGCTCCTCGCCCCCAGGACTAGCCGGAATCACCGTAGTAGCCGGAGACTGTGGGCTAGCCGTCCGCGAAGCAGAAGGGGAGCGCGGGGAGGCCATTCTCGCTTGGCTAGATAGCCAAGTTCCCCTTCTATCCCCCTCTACTTCAAAATTACCCCCCCTGATGGGGGACTTGAGCCAAAATGGCTACGGTCACACACCGTCGTAGCCATTCCAAGTCACTGCTATCCTGTCTTCGCATGTCAGAGGCAACTCTCCTGCGAGCGACGATAGCGAACGAAACTTCGTTTCTAGCGAAGCTACCTTCGATAGCTTCGAGTAGTAATAGGTAAGCTAGCACACATAGTCGTAACTCGTTCCTCGTCACGAGGTACAACCCTGCACCGCCCCCTGTGCCGATTTGGCCCAAGCAGTCCACGCAGCAGGAAAAGCGCTGCGCAGACCCCGCACCAGCACCCGCCACGCACCCTCAGCCTCGCCCCAGCACTGCCAAGGAACGGCGCGAGAGCCGCCCCCCGCCCCGCATCGAGGACTTCATCGCAGCCGCCGACGTCCCCGCAGAGGACGACCTCGCACATGCACCGCAAATCGGCACCTGGTGCCAGGCATCGCACCGCACTCCGGCGGAAGTCCGCTGGAGTCGCCAGGCCCGACCGTGGTATCGAGATCGCCACGGTCGGGCCTGCTGTGCCATAGAATGCGACTCCAAGCACAGCTCCGGCGATTGCTTGCCATGTGGTAAGCCATTCCGCCATGCGCATCCTCTGGCAACAGAGATGCATAATAAGCACCGCTGCTCGATTTGCAAGAGCAAAGAGGAGAGGGAAGAGCAGTGAGCTCCCCTCCCGCACCCGCACCGCACTGCACTGCAAAAAAGCGGCCGCCGCCCGTTCAGCCTAGCTTCTGCATTTCTTCTTGTTCAGAGTTCAGAGTTCACGCACCTCTCCTTTCTTGCTTGCTCAGGTCCGTCTGGTTTTCGCCTTCATGCTGACCCAGGCACGTTCTTGCAGCGCCTCTGCTCAGCACTCTTTTCTTGGGAGCTCGCTATGCACCCACTTTCCTTTCTGCCAGGCTCTGCTTCGGCCTCCAGTGCCCCGCCTTTTCTGCTCCTGCACACCGCCGTGCAAGCTCGCACCTCTTTTATCGACGGCTCTTTTTCCTAGCTTCATGCATGCAGGTTGCACCCGCCGGCTTCTTGCTCGAGGCACGTTCAGTCCGTAGCCTGTTCGGGCCTTTTCTCTTGCCTTTTGTGCACACGCTCTACTTGCTTCATGCGACAGCGTTGGAAACGGAAATTCGGCTCCTTGGCGGACCCTGAGGCCCGCACTGCACCGCAGCCTTCAGTGCTTAAAACACAGCCAAGCATTGCAACAGCTCCGCCTGCCTCGGACCCGGACGATGAACCGTCGCACCTGCCGGTTTTCTTAGGCTTCTTTGAGGTCGATGAATCAGCCTCAGAAGACGATTTCAGCTCGCCAGGCACACCTGCATCGCAATCAGCCCTGCCCTTGCGCTTATAGTTAGGACCTTAAGCCCTTTGCCCGAACCAACCCTGCCAGAAACCCCAGCCTCGCCCAGGGTCCTTCCGCTCACCAGCAAAGCATCGCAGCGACCTGAAATTGCCGTTCGGGTGGACTATCCGGGTGACCTGCCCAGACTGCCGCACAGCATTACTCACGGCCTCTCGCGCCCGCCTCGGCGCGTGGTCAAGTACCCAGCCCCCGCCTTGGGTTGCCCTAGTCCCAATAAACCTTTCCCTAAGTTAGGTTGTGCACCGCCTCTTTCGCCGTGGGGGCCGGCCCCCGCCACCGGCCCGCGCCATGCCACGCAGCTTGAACCTTCATAAGCCCCAACCGCGGCGGAGGCTTCGGGGCAAGCCTCGCCCCAGGGTTATATCGCAACTGCACCTTCACCTCCACCTGCCGCTCAGCCGCCTATCCCTGTCCCCCGCGTTCAGGGGGTGCCAATGTCCTTCAGCCGGCGCCAAAATGACATGCGTCGCCAAGCCTGCCACACGGCCTGGACCCAAATTTCCCCGGGCATCCGAGTATACATCTATTGTAGACTTGGCAAAGACCAGGAAATTCCTTGACTTGATACTTTTTGGTGATACATCCTTGACTTGGATACTTTCTGGATACATAAGTACATACATGGATGTACATACTAGTACTACTACTACTACTACTACTACTACTACTACTACTACTACTACTACTACTGCTACTACTACTACTACCACCTACCACTACCTACTACTACATACTCCTACTTACTACTTACTACTTACTACTTACTACTTACTACTTACTACTTACTACTTACTACTTACTACGACGTTCTCCGCGGGCGGACAGAGTTGTCTTTGATTTATAGTCGCCCATAGAGGCGACGCGAAACGTAGGAATTTCAAATTTTTACAACTTATTTAAAACCTGTGCGCTCTTGATTTCATGTCACACTTTTACTTTGGCGTGGAATCAGTTGTTCGAGTGCAACAGCCTTTGGCCTAAGTTCAGTGTGTCCGTAGGTCACGTGTCAGCACATGCACATAGCTGGGAAACACATTGCAGTGACCGTTGACTGAACAATTTTTCTGCCGTCCCATGGACTTCGGCGACGCCCTCGCCGCTGGTTCTTCAGGCCGTTCCGAGGACTCTACCAGCACTCGCGAGCTTCACAGTCAGCACATTTACGAGCTCCAATTGGAGGTCAACGCTCTCCGTGCTGAAATCCAAACTCTCAGGTCCGCATTGCAGGCTTTGGAAGAGTCCCTTGCTCGTGCCTGGGTGAACCAGACCGGCCATCACCAGCGTCTCTCGTGGCTGGAGGGGATTATTCAGAGCTTGAGGTCTGCCTGTCGGGTGTTTCTTGAGCCTGGCGTACAGTCTGCCGCAGATCTGCCATAATTTCGACCTTTGCTGACCTTTCAATTGGGATATGGCGGGTCAGCCTAACTCAGACGCTTTGCTTGGGCCATCCGAATTTCATGCGGCCTTGGTCGCTGCCGAGAGGCCGCTTGTTCTGGATGCTCAGTCCCTTCTCATCAAGGACTTGTCTTGGCACATAAAGGTGGGCGAGGCGTCTCGAAAGACTCCTCTTCTCCCTTGGGAGACGGGTCCCCTTTCTTGGATCTTTGGTGGGCCACTCAAGAGGCCGCGTCTGGAGCTACCTCGGGACCTGTCTCCCGATTCAGGATCTGCTGTTGATGCGGGGGTGCCTCTGGTGCATCCACAGCCGGTGCCCAACTTTGCAAGGGAGCGTCTTAGGATTGCAGCTCTCCTGGCTACAGACGACAGTTCTCGCTGGGAGGCTCTGAGGAAGTTCAGGACGCTGGTTTTGCTTGACCCGGCGCTGTCTCAGGTGGGGCAGTCACTTGCGGCTGAGGCTTTGATTCTGCGAGACGGCGATCAGATGAGGCGAACCTTCTTGGATGTCTTTCATGGCAAAAGTACAGCTACTTTAGTGAAGAGAGCCTCGTCGCTTTGGAGGTTTGCCAACTTTTGTTTTGACAATGGTCTGGGAAATCCGCTCGGGGCTGGCGAGAAGGTTTTGTACCGATACATGTCGCACCTCGAGGAACATGGCAAGCCGACATCCGCCTCGGCTTTCCTTCAGGCCTGGAACTTCGCTGTCCACACTTTGAAGCTCTGTAGCCCGGACGCTCTGGGGGCCTTGTCCGCTAGAGTCAAGGGTGCTGCGCAGCGCATGTACTCCTTGAAGAGGAAGCTTGTTCAGGCAGTACCTTTGACAGTGAAGCAGGTGAAAGGCCTGGAGTACGTGGTCCTGAAGTCCCCGTACCCCCATTGGCGAATCATTGCGGGTCACCTCTTGATGTGCATAGGGTCTAGCTGCCGATTCGCCGATTCCTTGCAGCTGACCAGCCTCAAGGTCAGCACTGCTCAGGGTGTTACCCTGGTCGAGGCAGAGAGCTCGAAGTGGAAGACGGCTTCGAGGAAGGATCAGCTCCTTCCTTTGGCCTCCTTGGGAAAGTTCTTCGCTGAGGAGTCGTGGGGAGAAGTTTGGGCTAAGGAGCGTGAGGCTGCTGGTCTTGGCCTCAACCCGGCGCTCCCGGCTTTCTCCGAGGTGACTGGTGAGTGGCTTAACCGTCCTATGTCTACGGGGGAGGCCACTTGTTACCTTAGGGAGTTCATGACCGCGGCTTCCCAGATGACTGCTGGGTTAGGGTGTCATTCCCTGAAGTGCACTGTCTTGTCTTGGGCTGCAAAATCCACGGATGTCCCTCTCGCTGATCGACGTTTGCTGGGGCATCACATAGATCCGGGAGTGGTGTCGCCGCTTACTTATGCGAGGGACGAGCAGACCCGACTCATGAAGGTAGTTCATCTTGTGGTGGAAAAGATCAGGAAAGGAGCCTTCAAGCCGGATGCCTCGAAGGTCTGGCGCCTCGCGAAGCTGATTGAGTCTGGTGGCACGGAGCTGCTTATTGAACAGACTGTGCAAGGCGATCCCTCTATGGAGGAGTCCGATGACGAGGAAGGCGACTTCGGCGACGGGGACATGGCCGCTGGAGGAGCGTGCGCCTCGATGGAGCGATTGAGTGCAGCTGAGCTGGACATTGCTAAAGATAGTCGGATGCATGTCTACTCGAGGGTGGTGCACATCCTGAAAGGATCCAAGTTCCTATGTGGGAGGAACCTCTCTCCAAACTATGAGGCCATCGATCCGGATGTTCCCCTCCGAGACTTGCCGGTATGCGCTCAGTGCTCGCAGAAGTACCAGCAGTGATTTTGGGATCGAGGGGTGAGTTCCGTGTCAGAGTCCGAAATTTTGTCGTGTGTTCCTGGGCCTGACCTGGCGGAGCCCCAATTGGGCGTTGACCGCTGGGCGTTGAGGGCGCAAGAGCAGGAACAGACTCGCCAGACAATTCGAGCCTCACCTTTGCCAGACCTGGCGGAGTCCCCCTACTGGGGGCGTTGGCCGTTGGGCGTCGAGGGCGTAAAGGGTGGAGGCGAGTCGCTACGACTCCTCAGATGATTTGAGCCTCACCTTATCCTGACCTAACGGAGACCCCACGTCGGGGCGTTGTCCGTTGGGCGTCGAGGGCGTAAGGTAGTGGGGCGCTCTTCACTTTGGGCATTCCGTGGCCTCACCACAGTAACAGTGTGACCTTGTCTCGCGCGAAAGGAATTATGACTGCAGGCGCGAGTGGGGCAGGCAGTCCTACGGGCGTTGTGCCGAGCTCTTGGTGGTTCTGATTCTCTGAGCTGCATCCAAAGTTGCCTTGCTGACGACAGTCCTGACTTGTTGGCTAGAGCGAGGAAGACGCAGTTCAGGCCGTCCTTGAGGGACGGGACAGTAGCAGCCATGAATTCGACAATTGACAGCGAAGCCACGTTCGCTGCCCGGGCCACCGAGCTCGGCATGGAGCGCGATCTCTTGGACTTGTTTGTAAAGAACAACGTGAAGACGATGGGCGCGCTAGCCTTTGTGAGCCCCTATCAAATCGGTCAAGCAGATGAGAAACCGCTTCTTGAAGCCCTCAAAGCCCTGATAGGGCGCGACTTGACCGCGAAGGAGCTGATCCCAGTCAGGCGATTGTGGTTCGAAGCCTCGACCACAGTGATGGGAGAGCTGAAGCAGAAAGTAGAGAGAAATGACTCTGCGGAACCAGTTCGTTTAGCCATCGCTGAAAGAACAACACGTCTGGATGAGCAGAAAAAGCGCCTTGTGGGCGTGTGCATCAACAGTGAGTCTGAGCCTTCTCACCGCCTTGTGGATGTTGTCTTCCAGCAGGGCGCGGATCAGCAGCTGACGTGGTTGCCTTGGGAGAAATTGACAAGTCGGGCTCATGAGTTGACGCATTCTCGCTCCGACAACGCCATCCTGTTTGACGCTCAGGGCAACATGAGGCTGACTAAGAAGATGCAGGAGAGCCAGTGTACTCTGACGGGTGAGCTCCAAGCTCGACAAGCGCTTCAGAGGCGCGCGTTGGCGTATGACCTCGCCCGCTTGTGTGACTATGCTGTCATGGAAACCTACCATGAGGAGTTGTTCCAGCTCCTCACGCGGCCTCCACCTCCCAATGCCCTCTACGTCTCAATGGGCCAAATCCGAGAAGCTGATAAGCACTTATTCATCAGGATCGCAGAGCAAACCCGGGGCTCTCTCACTGCTCGCCCGGATGGTGCTAAGCCCATGCAACAGCAGCTCGAGCTTCTCAAGAACCATCCTCAGGTGCAGTTCTTCTTGATGCCACCGCAGAAGCCTCTCCGCTACTCTCCTTATGATGGCAAAGGGGAGGGCAAGAAGGGAGCTGGAGGCAAGGGAAAAGGGAAAGCATCGACCGGTGCTCCCGCAGGAGGGGCTGCGCAAGTGGACCTCCCATCTGGATGCAGTGCCAAACACAACGGCAAGCCAATATGCTTTGCGTACAACAGGGCGGGCTGTAAGTTTGCCAAGGATGGCAAGCGGTGCAGACGAGGCTTCCATATATGTTGGAAGTGTTTCAAGGAGCACAGCTATAGCGCTTGCCCGCTCGGCGGGGCCTGACTCGGTGGTGACACTTCTGAGGCTGCGGTGCATGACGCTGCTCCTCGGCTTCAGGCGACGGCCCTTCTCGACCTTTTCGAGTCGCTGCCTAATGAGGTTGCGCCTCGCCCTGGATCGACGTCTTCAACGAAGGTGTTTCAAGCTGGGGCCTACATTTTCGGTGTGCTGGCCGGTCTACGCCGGTCTTGCGCCTTGCATGCTGAGAGTATCAAACCCTTTTGCCGTTTTGTAGTGGAAAACACTCCTGAGGAGTTTGTTTTCAGTAACATTGCTGTCTTTGCGAACTTACGGACTGAGATGCACCTAGATCCTAATAATCTGGAGGGGACTTTGAACTTTGCCATTGCCCTGTCTTCCTTCGAAAGCGGACAGATTCGACTTGAAGGCGGGCCGCAGGGTTCTGAGGCCCTCTTGGATGTCAAGACAGGCGTCTTCTTTGATGCCCGGACTCGACGCCACGGGACATGTGACTGGACAGGTCAGCGAGTTGTTCTTGTGGCATTCAGCCTCAGGGGCTCCGATCGCCTTTCTGCAAAGGACACCCAGACCCTAGCCTCCCTAGGGTTTAGGCCCCCTTACCCGGGTGTAAATAATCTGCATTTGGCAAGCCAGCTTTCAACGTCAGATGCGCCGGCGCATGTCGCTGCAGCTTCGCCCGACTTTCCTCCTGTGCCTCCGAATGCTCCTGCCTTTGTTGAGGTGTTCGCTGGCTGTGCTCGCTTGTCAGCTACGTTCGCCCGGGTCGGGTTCAAGGTCATGCCCTTTGATGGCCCTCGGAACCCGCATCAGCCTGAGCATCCTGTGTGCACGCTTGACCTGACATTGCCGATTTGCCAACAGATTTTCTTGAGCCGCCTCGAGAATTCCAGTGTCTTCTTGATTCACTTTGGGTTGCCTTGTGGCACGGGATCGCGTGCCCGCGAGGCGCCACTTCCCCAACATCTGCGAGCCAGTGGTGCTCCTCAGCCTCGCCCGCTCCGAGACCATGTGCACGTCTTGGGCCTCCCTTCCTTGAGTCCTCAGGAGTCTGCTAGAGTGGAGGCCGCCAACCGACTGGCCGAGTTCGTGGTGCAGGTGCTTGTGCGAGCACATGATCGAGGCTGGCGCATTGTCATCGAGAACCCCATTCGTTCTTGGATGTGGAGTGTTCTAGCCCACTTTGTGCGCGCGCTTGACAAGCCTCGCTTTCGGTCATGGTACTCCGAGCTGTTCACTTTTGATTTTGATCAATGCTGCTGGGGCGGTCGCCGTCGCAAAACTTCCAATTCCAGGTTCTTGACCAATGTGCCCGAGCTTCGCTCCTTGGTGGCTTCTTGTCAAAATGATCACCCTCACGAGCCGTACCGCATCTTCAGAGGTGCGGCCTCTTCTTGGAAATTCGACACAGCTTCCGAGGCCGAGTATCCTTTGCCTTTGTGCGAACAGTACGTTCGCCTCTTGTGCCCGCTGGTCAATGCCCAGCCGCCCAACCTGCCTAGGCCTTTGGTTCGTCAGGTTCATCGGAAGCCTCCTCTCGTGCCTGAGTACAAATCCTTCACAAATGTCCGCCCTGCAAGTGGTGAGTTTCGCGAGCTCGCTTCAGATCGGGGTGTTGGCGGGAGCAGCTCAACTCAGGGCTCCACGTTTGGAGTCTTTCACTCTAAGGGTGAGTTCCTTGAGAAGGCGCTGGAAGTTGAGCACCCCTTTGATTCCGCCTTTGCCATTGACGATCAGACCAAAAGGAACGTCTTCGAGTTGCTCACCATGGGTCTCCTGGGCCCTGCTCGCAGGCGGATGGACACTCAGAAAAAGCTTTCAGCGTTGAAGCGTGAGCTTGCCGTCGAGGAGAAGCGTTTTCACGCCTCCCTTCCGGAGCACGCCCAAAAGGTGCTCAAGGGGAAGAACATCTTGTTGTGGAAGAAGCTCCTTGAGGAGACCGGGTTCCCAGACATCACGGTCGCTGAGCTCATGGAGGGCGTCCCACTGGTTGGTAGGCCTAGTAAGTCTTCCTTGTATGGGTGGAAGGAGCAGCCGGCGACCACAACGTTGGATGATCTTCTTGTTTCCTCCGTGTGGAGGAACCCTGCGCTAGCGGCGAAGGGCAGAGTTGGGGACGACCCCGTCCTAGCCGAGAAAATCTGGCAGGCTACACTTTCGGAGGTGGAGAGGGGCTTCATCTCGGGGCCCTACGATTCGGAAGAGGACGTTAAGAAGGCCCTTGGAGTTTCTCACATCTGCTGCAGCCGGCGCTTTGGGGTGAAGCAAGGTGCAGGCGATGCTTTGAAGTATCGCCCCATCGACGACTTCAAGGAGAGTGCCATAAATTCTGCCTACCACGCGGTGGATCGCTTGCAGCTGCATGACGTCGACTATTTTGTTTCCTTGATAAGGTTTCTGGCGAACTCCGTGGACGACTCGGGTGCAGTCAATGTCGAGCTGTCCGACGGGACAGTGCTGAGTGGGGTTGTGCACAGTGACTTTCGATCGGGGCGGCGCTGGCTTGGACGGTGTCTCGATCTGGAAAAAGCGTATAAGCAGGTTCCCATATTGGCCGCTCACTTGCCCCTAGCCGTCATAATGGTATGGGACCCGAACACCAGCCGCAACAGATATTTTACCACTTGGAGCATGCCGTTCGGCGCATGCGCGGCCGTGTTTGGATTCAATCGCATATCCAGGTCGCTCTTACATCTTGCCTCGCACCTTTGCGCCGTCATAGGAGGCGTGTATTTTGATGATTATCCTATGATCGAGCCTGCTGAGTCTTCTAGGATGTGCAGCCGCTCGGTGGAAACCCTGCTTGACTCCTTGGGATGGTCTTATGCCGTCGGTGACGACAAGGGTCAGCCTTTTGAGGAAACCTTCAACCTCCTTGGCATGCGGCTGGGCGTCTCTAAAATCATGGATGACATCCTCGAGCTCGAGAACAAGCCCAGCCGGGTCCAGAAGCTCGTTGATGCAGCCAGGAGAATGGCTGCGAGTGGGGTTGTGAGCAAGAGTGACTCTGCATCCCTTCATGGCCAACTGAACTTCATGGTGGGCTTCGCTTCCGGCCGTTCCTTGAAATTTGCTGCGCGAGCCTTGTCAAACCTTTATCACTTTCCACGGGATCAGCCTGACGAGGAGGTGAAGTCCTTGGGCCGCTACCTTGAGTCTGCGCTTTTGAGCTTGGAGCCCAAGGTCATCAGGCTGAGGTCAGGCGGGAGGCCGGTGTCTGTCTTCAGCGACGCCTCTTACGAAGATGGTGTGGCGGCATGGGGCATTGTCCTGGCAGACCCTGTCTCTGGTGAGAGGCTGGTAGCTGGCGGGATTGTAGATGATCGCCTTGTGCAGTTTTGGCTTGATGAAGGAGTTGAACAGGTCATTTCACAGGCCGAGGCCTTTGCTTTGGTTCTGGCAAGGAGAGCTTTCAAGGACCACTTGCAGTGCCGCAGATGCGTGTTTTATGTCGACAATGATGCGGCGCGCTATGTATGCATTAAGGCAAGCAGTCCGAGCCGTACCCTCCTCTCCTTGGCATGCTCCTTTTACGCCAGTGAGTCTCATGACGGAGTCATTTCATGGCTGGAGCGTGTTCCTTCTGCGAGCAATATCGCTGATCTCCCTAGCAGGGGAGAATGCGCTGAGGCAGCAAAGCTGATAGGAGGCAAGATTGTCGACTGCAGTCAGATTGCATCGGACCTGACTTCGGAAATTTTGTCCGTGGATGATCTTCCGTGGAGCCTTCTTGCTACGTCCTACAAGGACAAAGCACCTCCGATCTTCTTGTGACTGCATTCGGACGTCTGCTGGGGAATGACGGGTCCGTTGAAGGAAACAGGTTCGCCTGTGTTATCCTTGGGTCGTCGGTGGTGCACATGTTTCTCCCCTTGATCTGATCGCAGTCCGAAGGTGCCAAAATAGCGAAGGTGTCCGAGTGATTGCAAGTGAAGCTTCAATATTTGAAGATTGCCTTTTTTTATAACATATTGATTGATTGGGCTATGCCCGAATATATGATTGTTTTTTAACCACGTTTCGTAAATCACTAAGACGACGTTCTCCGCGGGCGGACAGAGTTGTCTTTGATTTATAGTCGCCAATAGAGGCGACGCGAAACGTAGGAATTTCAATTTTACAACTTATTTAAAATCCGTGCGCTCTTGATTTCATGTCACACTTTTACTTTGACGTGGAATCAGTTGTTCGAGTGCAAAAGCCTTTGGCCTAAGTTCAGTGTGTCCGTAGGTCACGTGTCAGCACATGCACATAGCTGGGAAACACATTGCAGTGACCGTTGACTGAACAATTTTTCTCCCGCCCACCCGCCCGGGAATGACGGGTCCGTTGAAGGAAACAGGTTCGCCTGTGTTATCCTTGGATCGTCGGTGGTGCACATGTTTCTCCCCTTGATCTGATCGCAGTCCGAAGGTGCCAAAATAGCGAAGGTGTCCGAGTGATTGCAAGTGAAGCTCCAATATTTGAAGATTGCTTTTTATAACATATTGATTGATTGGGCTACGCCCGAATATATGATTGTTTTAACCACGTTTCGTAAATCACTAAGAATTAAACTACTACTACTTACGACTTACTACTTACTACTTACTACTTACTACTTCTACTTACTACTTTACTACTTACTACTTACTACTTAACTACTTGCTACTTACTACTACTACTACTACTACTACTACTGACGACTACTACTACTACTACTACTACTACTACTACTACTACTACCTGCTACAACTACTACTACGACGACTACTAGTACTACTACTACTACTACTACTACTACTACTACTACTACTACTACTACTACTACTACTACTACTACTACTACTACTAACTACGACGACTATAACTACTGCGACTACCACGACGACTACTACTGCTGCTTACATTACTACCACTATAATACTAGACTACATAAGTTATATCGGATCCTTCGATGCACTCCGCAACTTAAGCCTGCAAACTTGAGCCAAATTTGTACCCTCCACTCAAAGTTGGCACATGCCACCTGCGCAATATGTGTAATTATATACATATACACGTATACAAATACACATGTAAACGTGTATACATGCATACAAGTATACATAAGCATCTCCTTATGCATGTGTGCAAACATGCATATGCACATATACAATCATATCCGTACATACACAAGCACCGAAAAACATTTACATCGACGTAAGTATAATGCTCGTGCTCACAGGGCTTGCGCGAGTGTTTCGGCGCCACCAAACTGCTGAAATGTGTTGTTTTTCTTTTATTCGTGGGGCACTGCTACAGGAAGACTCCGTACAACAAAATCCAAAAACACGGAAGGAACAGATCTGAAGGTTTCGGTCTCAAGGACTACCAGAGCAGCTGCACGAGCACTGAGGATTTAAATGGGATTCTGATTTGCCCCGCGGCTTGTACCTCTTTGGTTTGAGCCGTTATACTTAAATTAGAGTCCAAAACATTTCCAGGACCGAGGATATCCGAGGACACAATATTTTGGACATTGCCTAATACAGGCCAATCCTGTCCTTGTGCTTTGTGGTTACATACCTACATGTATATATCACGACTGCGGAAACACGTGGCAAACAAGGCTCCGACCGGCTTTTGGAGCCATTCTGGTAAGATTTGTTTATCGAGCCGTGGAACCAAAATATTGAATTTTGCTTTCCGGTCAGATTACCTTTGCTTTCTCAAGCATAAGTCGCGTCTTTGCGTCTTTGGGCCAACCTAGTTTATTCACTGCTGGATAGTTTAGGGCTCAGGGATGCACAGGGGGTCGGCAAGTGTTTGAGAGCAAGGTGTTGGGTTTCGGGATACACGGTTTTGGGATGTTTTGGGTCTAGGGTCGTGGTTTCAGGGCATAAGTTGTTTACGTTTATGTGTTGGCCTCTAGTGCTGTAGGAGGGCTTTCCTTCTAACGGTTAGGCAGTCCAACGCTGGAGGTTTGGGATAACGCTTAGTTTTGAAGATCGGGGTGATGGCTTTAGGTTTTATACAGGGTTATAGAGAGTGAACTGGTGTTTGGAATAATAGGCTCACGCGCAGTTGGGTTCGGAGGGTACATGGGACTTCCTGCTTTTACAGTTTGGATCCGTCCTAAATCTTAAACCATAGACTACAAGCCGTCACAACCACGAAATCCCCACGTCAAACAAACCTTAAATGACCTTCATAGTTTAAAGCGAAGTGCCAAACCCTCTCAATGTGAAATCTGCCAATCTCGCTGTGCCGTACACGGTGTTCTTCTCTCTCTATGTATAGAAGTTCGGCTATATTCGGAATGTTTTGGCCTGTGCACCGTTGACTTTTGTCCGCACTAAACTACTGGCATATCGAAATTCGTGTCATATGCCCTCAGATGACTCAGAAGAACTCATAATTGGCTCGTTCGCACTCTATGCTCGTCGCGACTTAACTGTTTGCACTACGTAGCGCAACCCCTTTTTGCACTCATCTGGAGCATTTCGATGCCAAAGCAGCGACGACACCTACAATATGACATTGTAGGACCGCGACTACTACGACTACGACGATGACGAGGACCGACGAACACAACAACGACGACGACTATTGCTTACTACCTCTCCTGCGGTAAGTGCAAGTGAAAAAGGCTGGATGCACACCAGCAGCTGCAGTCCTTGCGGGGATGTAGAATTGAAACATAAACCCGAAAATTCGGCCACAAGTCTGTATGACTGTACGAGCCTGAGAAAGTGTAAGTGTAATGCATATCCCCCCCCGTACTGCAAGGGTAACGTTAGTCTAAGACTCCGAAACCAATGATACAGCGCGTCATCCAGCAGTGACAAGTTTGAAAGTCCGCGGCTGAGGATACAGACAACCGGTGCTTAAAGCGGATTTCACGCAAATCACGCGGTTTCACGCTTTTTCACGCGAGTACGCTCTCAGGTTGTACTTTCGTGCCGGATTTCACGCGAGATCACGCTAAATCACGCGCGCTATGTTTGGGTGGCCGGGGGCTTTGTACTTTCGTCCCGGATTCCACGCTAAATCACGCACGCTATGTTTGGCCCTAGGGGCTTTGACAGTCTGTTGTAGGGAGACAGCTGTCGAAATTTGTCAGGCGGGTTCAAGCATCGACAAATGTTTTGCAGCTCAAAATGTTTATTTTTGAACCTGGTGTTTCGACCCGCAAGAGCTTGAAGGTTTTCGCGTCGTTTGTGGTGCTTTTAGTGCTCGTATGAAGGTTTTCGCGTCGTTTGTGGTGCTTTTAGTGCTCGTATATGCCAGTTTGTAGCCCCGACACTGCAACACACACCCACGCACAAAGTACCCTCCCACATGCAACAAAGATCCGCAAGGATTTTCTTTTTGTGCTATTAGTGTATATATAAATCAATACACACATATGTATGTATATATACAAACAAATGCATGCGTGCTTGTTTTATCGCACATGTCCATGCCAGGACTGGGGCTAGTCTCAGCATTTGACTTCCAAACGTGTCATTCAAAGGTTTTGCAGGTATCAAGAGGTAGCTTTTAGCGAAAGCCCGACGACATCGCTTGAGAGAAACAGAATGGTTGCCACTTCCACCTAGTCAACGTCGAGTAACGGGCACTCCCCTTCCTCTTTCCACCCCTTGTTGTAGCAATCGATACGGGTTGGGAAGAAGCATGAAATCGCGCCATCACACTGACAAAGCAAAGACCTGTATCAGAGCAGAGACCCTGCTGAATGACACTTCAGAGCACGCAACGAGAAGCATTGATTCCGCCCTGACCCTCAAGTCCAAGGTTATACGTATCACAACAACCGTCTGCCAGATTGCGCAGACAAAACATTTTGAAGCCCGGGCATGCATTGCTATCACATGTCCAATCCGCTTTTACCCCAGACTTCCAAAATCGATGCTTGAACACTCTCACTCTGGCTTACAGAATTGGAGCCGCAAGGCGAGGGACCGTGAAGAGAACTTATACTGATGGTAACCATATATAATTAATTTTGTTTTCATGCGGACTTACGAGAATTCGCCACCACCAAAACAATACACACCGCAGAAGAAGAGCTGAATGGGGTGTTTGCTAAATGCAACTTAGATGTTGACAATCTTTTGGAATTGGATATTTCAAAACATGGATTCAAAAAGTTTTCGGAGCTGAATACTGCTAGACATGTAGAGAAGGTCGTTTTGGCTTCACGCGGCGTACAGGGTCTTACGTTTTTGTCATGCCTTGGTTATTTAGGTACTGGGTTTCGGCAGTTTGTATGGCAACCTGTTGCAATGACGAAACCTTTGTGTGCTCATATGCGCTGGGGCCATCATTGACGAGAGCTGACAACTTTGGATTAGTTCAGGAACTATCGCTTTGGGCCATGGAGACTACTCCAAGTCCAAGCTTGTAGAAGGTAGGAAAAGTTTTTATGGACCCGTCAACTAACTTTGAAGATCTAATCTTAAATGCAGAGGAAAAATACCATGTATACTGGACTCAGCGGTTGCCAAGTACATGCAAAGAGTACATATCCTCCAAACCATGCACATAAGCCAGAACCCCATGTAAGCTGTCCTTACGAGCCGTGGATGCATTAGTTCTGAGGGATGTATCGCTGGAGTGTAAGGTGTACGGATTGCTTCGACGGGACGGCCGGAGCGGGAGAGACAGAGACCCAGACAGAGGGAGAGAGATAGAGAGAGAAACGAGAGTGGGAAAGAGGGGGAGAGAGAGCGAGCGAGCGAGAGACAGAGACAGCGACGGGAACAGAGACAGACACGTAGACAGAGAGAGAAGGAAAGAGAGAAAGACAG